TACGCGGGCCCGGGCGGGGGCGCGCGGCCGCCGGAGCTCACCTCGCCCTGCACCCAGACGGCAGCAACCGAGCGGCGGCGACTTCTCCGGCAGTGGCGGCAACGGGGCCCCGAGCTGGCGTGGGGCTGCGCGACAGCAGCGGTGGCGGTGCGGCGACGGCTCGGCCCCTGCAGTCCGCGGTGACGTCCTGCAAAGAGCGGGGCGGGGCCGCACCTGCAGACGCGGCGTGACGCCACTGAGGCGGGGCCTAGCACGCAAATGAGATGTGACGCTAGGGGCGGGGCCTCGTCCATAACCAAGGCCAGAGCAGGCTTGCAGCGGAAGGGGCTGGGCTTCCGCGCAGATTGACGAGCGGGGGGGCGGGGCCAGACCTGAGAAGGCCCAAGAGTGGGGGAGGTGCCAGCCTTCGCTCCGCCTCTGTCCCCCTCAGGAGGTGGAGCTACGTTGAGGCTTTTCATTGGTTCAAGTACTCGAGCGACTGGCCAAGTAGCCAATCAGACGCCGTCAACTCCCTCCTCCTGTCCCAGGGTCTCAGCCCTTTGAAGGGCCGAGCGCCTGAGGCCTCGCCTGAGCCCAGGTCTTTGGGAACGGCACCCCTCCCCACCAGTGGGGACCCCAGGTCCGCCTCTTCTACAGCCCCGGCTTCGTCCAAGGTGCTGCCCCCTAACCCTAATTTCAGAAACGGGGAACCGGAGCCGGCGCGATGATCGATCCATGCCCTACCCCAATATTTAGAGCTCGAAATCCAAAAAAAAGAGGAAAGAGGGGTCCCCAGGGCCCCATCCGGCTCTTGAAGTGTAAGAGCCCAACATGGGGGCCGACAGAGGCCCCACCCTCCCCGTGTCTGAAGCTGTAAGAAGCAAAAATGCAGCGGGGATCAGGGCAGCCCCCTCCCCGCCGCTCCCCAGAAAGGAGGGGGGAAGGGGCGCCCCAGAACCTCCTTCCCTGCCCCGCCCGTTAACGAGGAGAACAAGACGAAGTCGAGGCAGAGAAGCGTCCTGTGTCCTAAACCCCCAAAGAGCCGGGAAAGAGGGGGTGCAGGAGAGACCCCCCCAGCCCCAGCCCGCACTGCTGGCGGGGAGACTCGGGGATGACGATGCTCCGCGCGTGGTCCCTGAAGCTTCGAGGCGAACGACAGACTCTGGGAGCGGAGACCCCGGGCCGGCAGCCCGCGGGGGTCCTGATGGCCCCCCACCCATTTGCAGCACTGCAGGGGACACCGGAGCCCCGCCCCCCCCGCCCCGCCCCCAGCAGCAGCCCAAGCCAGGTCTGTTTGTAGACAGCTGCGGGCTGCGGGGGCGCCGCGCCCGGAATAGCTGCGCCTGGGCCGGGTGAGTTGCCCGCCACTCCCCGCCCCGCGCGTGGGGAGCTGTATCTTTTCTCAGGGTGATCTCCCTCCCCCACCCCACAGAGGAGGACTGGGCAAATTCAGAAAAACAAAACATAAATAGCAGTTATATTCTCGCTCGGGGTGGGGTTGGGGGTGGGGGTTAGCCCGCCCCGAGGAGGCGGGGAGGCTGAGTCAGGTGACTGCAGAAACACCCGCGGGCAGGATGGGCAACCGCTTCTGCTTTGTTTAAAAATAAAAGTAATAACCTGCGCGTGACTACTTGGGAGGCGTCGGGCTACTTGGGAGGCTGAGGCAGGAAGATTGCAGTTGGAGGCCACCCCTGCGTAACATCGTGAGACCATCTGAGAGTAAAAACATGAAAAGGGCTGGGGATGTAGTTCAGTGCGAAGGCCCTGGGTTCAAACCTCAGTGCCACCCCACCCCAAATTTTCTTTTGTTTTTGTAGGAAAATTTTATTGGAGAAAAGGAATGGGGAATAGGAATAGCTCCTGAGACAGGGGTCCTGAATGGGTTGCCCCGCAATTTTTTTTATTGATCATGTTGACTAATTTACCCGCTAGCCCCCTCTCCCCCCGTGGGCTGTGCCCGGCAGGGCTTGGACCCAGGGCACCGGGGCCGTGACACTGTGCCGCCATGGGTGAATGAATGCTGACTTCGGTCATGGGCGTGAGGGAGGAGCTCCAGGAAGAGGAAGTATTACTTCTGGGGTTGGTTGGTTGGATTTTGAGACAGGGTCTCACCGTGTAGTTCAGGCTGGCCTTGAACTGGCGGCGATCTTCCTGCCTCAGCCTCCCCAGGGTCAGCTGGGATGACAGGTGTGCACCAGGCCCGGCTGGTTTATTCATGTATTGGCAGGGCTGGGAGTGGAATGCGGGCCTCACACATAGTGCGCCGCAGGCCAGGACCTGGCGATCAGTGTTCTCATAAACAGGTGAAGTGAGACGCCGCGGGAAGCGAGCTCCAGCACGGGCTCGTGTCCGTGTTTTATTTCCTTCTTTATGTACCTCCATCCTTTGAGAATTCTCTGCTGCAAGCACGGATCTCCTCGCAGAACAGAGGAGGGGACGCACCCCCCCCCGCCCCCGCGCCAGGTCTTGTCTTTTAAACACCCGCGCGGAACTGACCCAAGTTCGGGCCCGGGGAGGCCGCTGGTTTTTCCGGGCGGAACCTCAGCGTCAGTGGTGACGAGGACGAGCAGCCGCGGTTATCATAATATTTATGATCGAGGCCAGCTGTTACCCGAGCGGGGCCGCAAGATGACGCGGATCGAGCGTGCATTTCCGGGCCACAGAGCACTGAATGCCGCCCAAGAGGGGCTGGACGCGGGTCTGGAACCCCAGACATGGACACGGCTCGCATCCAGCCCAGCGCCAGGACTCTGAGCTCCGCGCTACTGCGCTCCCCGCTCCCACCGCCAGGGGGAGATGCTGACCAACATTGGCTTCCGGATGTCTTTTTTTCGGCGGATAAACCACGCTTCTGTGCGTTTCCCCACTCATCAAACAGGTCTTTTGGGGAGGGCGGTGTATGTGAGGCCAGGGCTCACCACTGAGGCGCACCTAGGCATTTTTATTTTTTACATTGTGCCACTGTGTTACTAAGTAGCCCAGGCTGGCCTTGAAATTGCCACCGTCCTGCCTCAGCCTCCTGAGTGGCTGGGACACTCATTAGGCAGCAGGGTGTCTTCAGGCCTGAAGGGTTTATTGAGCTCCAGAGAAACGTCCAACAGCCTCACACTTCTAAGATATTTCTGTCAGGCCACAGGCCCCATCGCCTCAACCAAAGTCCAGCGAGACCTGGCAAACTCAGGCCCGGACGCAGCTGATCAGGGGCCAGCCAGACGCAGCAGCTGCGGGGTGGGTGAGAACTCCGCGGCTCTGTCACTTGTTAGGGAGGGAGCCCCGTGCAGGACGCGGCACGCAGCCCTGGCCAGAGACGGCGGCACCGATCCAAGTCACCGCGGGCCAGGCCGAGGTGGCCAGCGATAAGCATTTGCGTAGCAGGGCTGGGAGCGCCCCCGGGGCTGCCAAAGGGAAGGGAGCAGAGAGAGACACACAGGAGGAGCCGAGGCGCTGCATATCTGTGATTGCAGCACCCGGAAGGCTGAGACAGGAGGATCCCAAGTGTAAATCCAGCCTGGCAAGTGAGAGGTTTAGTGAGACACTGTCTCAAAAAAATGAACAATGGGCCAGTGGAAAGAAGAAAAGAAGGTAAAGGCAACTCCGGGCGACTGCGGAGGAGAGGGCCCGGCCCAGTCACCTCTCCATCCCGAGCCAGGGCCGACAGGAGGCCGAGGCCGTGGGCCTCACAGGCCGTCCTGCACTGCGTTCACCTCCCAGAACCTGCTTGTGGCTGGCAGGGGGCCCAGGTCCTCGCTGGCTGGGGGACAGGAGCTAAGTGCACGGGGACCCTGCGGCCGCCACCTCCTCCTCCTCTGCTTCCTCCAGTGTCAGCTCAAACTGGAACCTGTCGGGGGCGCCCCGCTCGGAGCCGACGGGGTCCAAGGGGCTCCGAGGGACCCTGCTGTGGTACCACGACCTGTTGTCCTCCAGCGTGTCCAGCAGGTCCTGCGCGTCGGGGTGGACCAGGTCAGCCCACGTCTCCCACAGAGGGTGGGCAATGTAGTCAATAAAGCCCACCTGGAAAGCGGCACAGGGAGGGCGGCAGACAGGCAGTGAGCCACGGGCACCTGGAACCCGGTGCATCTTCTAGGCACTTGGCCATATTGTTTCCACTGCTTGGAATTCCATTTCCCAACTCCTATTTAACCTGCAAAACCCTATTCATGTAACTCTTTGTACAAATTTGGATGGAGCTCAGGGACACAGCACCTGCGTGGCATGTATGAGGTCCCGGGTTCTGTCGCCAGCACCCAGGAGGACGAGGATTAAGCTGGGGCCCTCGGGGTGGCCGGCACCTCCTCTCCCTCCCCTCTTCCAGGCCACCACGGTGTGGTCACCACGCACCTGGGACTTCTCCACTGAGGCCGTGTGCTTGTCGCACATGGGGCTGATGTCCAGGCCGGACTCGCGCTCTTGGTCGCCCTGCTGGAAGAACTCGGCCATGATACGGTCTGTCCACTGGCGGTAGAGGGGCAGCGGCTTGGTGGGGTTGCTGAGATCGGCGCAGTGGACCAAGTTCTGCAGGACCTGCGGGGACCGAGGCTCATGACGCAGCCTGGGCCGGGCCAGCCCACACGTTACCCGAGCGGAGACTGGGGCACCAGCCGGAGTCTCCCGCACCTGGATGCGGTCGGCGTACGTGTCCAGCAGCAGGACGCCCAGACTTGTCACCTTCTTGGTCTCCACCATGGTCTTGAGGTCAGCCAGCAGGTTCATGTGCTTGGACATGTCAGTGGCCAGCACCTGGGGATGCCAGGGACAGGTGTGAGGGCCCTGCCCCCACCTCCAGGTCCCCACCTGCAAAATGGGTGACTCGTGGCTTAGGACACAACCTGTGCAAAGGCCCTGGGGCTGCCAGAGGTGGGTGGAGCGCAGGTGGGATGACACCGAGGCCCTGCCCCGCCTCACCATGTCAATCACCATCCTGCGCAGACTCAGCCACTGCTTGGCACTGAGGTTCCGGAAAATGTCACAGTTCTCGGCTTGCAGCAGTTTGAAGCCCACCGCCAGATGGTGGTTCTCCAGCACAGAGATGTCATTGTACATCAGCGCCAGCTCTGACTCTGTGGGAAGCCGGGCGCCTAAAACCCACCCGCCCAGCCCGCTCTACCCAAAGGCAGCTTTTCCCACCCCTTGGAGAACTCCTACACATACTTGGAAGGCCCAACTCTAAATGCCCACTCCTTCCAAAAGTCACCCAGGACCCTTGCTGTGATCTGACTGTGCAGAGGTGGGGGTGTCTTGTTCAGCTCTGTGCACCAAGTTGTGTGTGAACAGGGAGGCCCAGGCCCGGACCAGCCCCAGTGCCAACTCACTGGTGTTGATGAGAAACTGGTTGGAGACCCCAGGGTGGTCCACGTCGTGGATGGCACTGGCAAAGATGGCGGCCAGGACCTCCAGGTCTGTGAACACCGCCTGCGCAGGCACTGCCGTGAGAGCGGGGCCGGCACTCCGACCCCGCCCACCTGCCCACATGGAGGGGCGGTACCTGGAGTGCGGGCGTGGCCAGCAACACATGCGCAGACTGCGCCACGTCGGCAGCATGCAGGCTGTTGTGATAGGCCACGTTGGAGTGGTAGTGACCTTCCAGCGTCAGCAGGTAGGTGGCCAGCGTGTCTGCCGGGATCTGGAATGTCTTGAGCAGGTCCCGCTCCTGGTCCATCACAGGCCCTGAGTCCTTGAGGCTCCAGCACATGGTGCTTCTATTTGTTGCCTCTTCTTGAACTCCTACACAACCTTCAAAATCCTCTCCCACAGGATGCCCTCCCTTGCGCTCTCCTGAACTCCTTCAGTCTCTGGCCTCCTCTAGTCCACTGCCCCCCCCCCAGGACTGTTCTCTCCAGAGGACAGGGCTCTTTTCAGAGCCAGGCTCAGGACTGAAGCTTGTAGGCAATGTACTATTCAACCTAGTGGACTCCTATTCATCCTTCAATACCCAACTCAAAATATCCCATTCAAGAGCATCAGAGAAACTTGGAAGAAAGCGTGTCCCTGAGGTGTTGGTAGGAAGAGCAGAAGGAAACCCTGGGGTATTAGAAGCCAAATGCACAGGCAGTACCTGGAAGATGCTGAATAGGATGGCCGTCAGGGGCCGGTTCCCGCTTAGCTCGGCCACCCTGAACACGTCAAGACCCCACTTGTTCGTGTCCTCCAGCTCCTGGAATGTTACAATCAGCAGCTCCAGCAGTGCTGCAAAGCCGACTCGGAGCCCCACCCTAGCGTTCGCAGGCCCACCTTTGCCAGCTGGCCCTCCCGGTCCGTCTCCACCCCGAAGCGAGGGACGGTGGCCAAGGACCGGCCGGGCCGGGGGAGCCCACCGAGGCCAGGGATCTCGGACAGGGGCCGCGTGGGCAGCTCCACATCGGCGTGCTGGTCTGCAGGAGGAGGCGGCTCAGCGGGGTCTCAGCCCTGGAGCCAGCCCAGCGCCCACCACGCTGAGTTGGCGCCGAAGCCCCGCGCCCGCCCTCTCCTCCGGCGTGGCTGGTTTCAGTGACCCCTTCTGCTAGGTGCGGCTCTTGGACCGCAGTGCCCTTTCCATCTCCCAGGCTGGAGACCCAAGCTTCTAGTGCCCTCCAACGGCAAACTTCTACTCATGCTTTACAGCCCTAGCTGTCAAGCCCTGTCCACCCAGAAGTTGCCCCGTTCCTCCCTAGCTCACCCAGGAAGGTCTGGGAGATATACTCGGACACCTGGTTCCCCGAGCGGCTGGTTTCCGACAGGTGGGTCAGCTCCCGGTTCAGCATGCGTTTGAACTGCGGGCGAGGGGGCGGCGGTGAGGGCCGGGCGCTGCGGCGGGGCCGGGGGGCCGGCCAGCCCGCTCACCTTGGTGGAGGCCATGTCGCCCACCGAGTGCCGCGTGTGCAGCGCCTCCAGCTGGTCGAGGCACCAGTCCAGCTCCGCCAGCGTCTCCAGCGCCAGCGGCGGCCCCGCGTCCTCTGGGGGCCGAGGGGGTCAGCGCCCGGCCCGCCCCGCCGCCCCCAGTGCCTGTCCCCGGCTAACCCGCCGCCGAGGTGCGGTGCGGGCGCGCTCTGGGCCGGGAATGGGGTCTGGCGGCAAAGCCAGGGGACTTGGGAGGAGGGGGACAGTGGTCCGCAGTCCTGGGGCCCCGGAGGTCACGGGGCGCTGGGCTCGCGGCCCTGGGGAGGCTGGGGACAGGGCTTTACCTGCAGCTGCAGGGGACTGGCTGCCGACTGGAGGGCTCCCGACAGACGCCGGCCTGCGGCAACAGGGGGGGACATCAGGGACCGGGACCCAGGCCCAGGCCCCGCCCCGGGGCGGCCAGACCACGCCCGCAAACAAAAGGCCCGCCCACAAGGCGGTCAGGCCCCGCCCCGAAGAGCAAAGGCCCCGCCCCCGGCCATTCAAACTCCGCCCCCAAGTCGCCAGCCTCTCCCCCTGCCTCTTGCAAACCCTACCTAGAACCGCCAGAGCCCCGCTGCCTGCCCAACCCCCTTTTCTCTTTTTCCTCTCCCTCTCCCTCTTTCCCGGGACTTCTGGTGTACTGGGGATGGAACCCAGGGCCTTCACACTGAGTTACATCCCCAGCCCGTATTTTTATTTATTTATTTATTTTTGGTTTTTTTTTTTCCGGTACCGGGAATCAAACTCACGACCTTGCGCTTGCCAGGCAGGTGCTGTGCCGCTGAGCTAAATCCCCAGCCACCAGAACATATTTTTATTTTTTATTTTGAGACAGGGTCTCCTCGGTCACTACATTGCCCAGGTTGGAGTATGTATGTATTTATTTTTGGGGACAGGGCCCCGGCTATGTAGTACAGGCTGGGCTTGAACTCACTCTGTAGTCCAGCTTGGCCTCAAACTCAGTGATCTTCCTGCCTCGGCTTCCGGAGTGCTAGGATTACAGTCCTGCGCCACTACGCGGCCCTCTAGGTGGCGCATCTTTTTTTTTTTTTTTTTTTGGTTTTTTTTCTCCGGTACCGGGAACCGAACTCACGAGCTTGCGCTTGCCAGGCAGGCGCTTTGCCGCTGAGCTAAATCCCCAGCCCCTAGGTGGCGCATCTTGTGGGAAGTCCCCAGAGGCGCCCCAGTGAGCCCCACCCCGCCCCCACCACCCGCTCCACCCCGCGTACCGGGCTGCCCCGCAGGGTCCCTGGGCGAGCGCCGCCACGTTGCTGCGCACGGTCCGCAGACTGGCCAGCACCTGGGGGAGGCAGGATCAGAGGGGAAGGGGCAGCCCCACCCGCGGCTCCCCGTGGGGCTCGAGGTGACACAAACCTGGGCAAAGGGCGTCACGATCAGGTCTTCTCCGTGTCTGCGGGGAGAGGGCTGTTAGGGAGAGTGCGGGGCCTCTCAGCCGACTCACCTAGAAACCCTAAGGCACGCCTAATCAGTCACTCCTTCTGTGTCTCAGAAAAGGGGAAACTGCGTCCCAAGGGCCGAGAGGGTCTTCGCAGCATCAGGACAGAAATGATTATTTCTGTTTTCATTACGGCTGTCAGGGGGCTTAAATCCGTGTGCTGCTTTCCTTACTGCTAATCGGCCGTAATACATCTGGGTTACCACTCCCACCCCAAACCAGGCCGAGACCAAGCAGATAACATTGAGGGATATAGTGGGCTGCACACTCAACTGAGTAAGTTAGCTGCCTGGCAAACTCCTACTTAAACTAGAAAACCTATTTCAGAAGGTGCCTTGAAGGAGCTTCCTGAATGGCGGAGTAAGGAAAGAAGAGTGCGAAGGAAAGGGCAGGAGGAGCGTCCCGGGAGCAGCCCCACTCACAGGTCGCTGCCCGCGGAGGAGTTCCGAGACATGGCCTTCGGCGACAGCTCATAGTCGCTGTCCGAGCGATACAGGAAGGACTCCCGCCGCTGGCTGTGCGAGCCCGGGGCCTGCGTGCCCCTGCCACACGAAGGCCCATTGTCCAGGTCAAAGCTGGGGGCAGAAGGGACAGCAGTCAGGGCCCAGGGCCCCCGCAGCTGGGTGCCCGGTGGCATCTTCACTCCTGCGAGGGTGGCTTCGGGTGTGTGTCTGGACCCGGGGCCCAGTGCAGACGTCACCAGGCGGGGCTCTCTGGACCCACACTGCCTCGTGTCTAACTGGGCCTGTCGAACTCCATCCCCAAGGGCTTTTAGGGGGCGAAAGCCGGGCAACCCGGGCAACCCGGGCTGGTTAGGTCTGCGGGCTGCAAAGGGCAGGGAGCGCTGGACCAGTCCGACCAAGCCCCGGGCGGTCTGGCCTCGCCCACGCAGGGACCACGCCCATTCCCTGGGCCACGCCCCCACTTCGCGGGTCCCGATGGATATCACCAGCAGCTTGAACACTCGGCCTGCCTCCTCCCATCCCGGGCCTTTGCACACACTGAGCCGCTGCCCAGGCACGGTCAGGCTGCCCCACACCTGCTCCGTTCCGCCCGCAAGCCTCGCCTCCCCAGCCACAGCCGGGCTGGTAGGCAGGAACCCATCCCTCCTTTTAGGGCCAGAAAAAGGATGTGGGGCAAGGAGTGGGGCATGGGAGTGGGGTTGGCGACCTTGGAAAGTCACGGATTGGGTGGGTCTCAAGCTTTTTTTTCTTTTTTAAGGACAAGGTCTTGCTATGTAGTTCAGCTGGTCTCGAACTGGAGTCGATCCTCCTGCCTCAGCCTCCTGAGTGCTGGGATCACAGGTGTGCACCACCACGCCCTGCTGGCTCCCTGGCTTTTGAGAAGGTGTGGACCGAACCAGCAGCGACAGGAATCGGGACCGTCCACGACTCGGGACTGCTGGCCAAGAGCTAGTGTTCACTTGGCCCCCGTCGTAACCTTTCCAAAGATCACAAAGAGGCCGGGTCGAGAGGCTCCGGGCAAGGGCAGCCCGACTCGGCTCAGGCAGGAGTGAGGCCGCGTCTCCCTGAGTGCGGCCCGGTCACGCTGAGCTGCACTGGTCCTGGTGCGTTGGCTGGGGCCAGTTCGGCCAGTTTCAGCTGCACCGGGTGGGTTCGGGCAAGTTCGTGCTCCTTCGGCTACGTCCGTCCAGGCTTGGCCGGCTTTGCCGGTCGGGTGTACTCGGCTTCTTCCGGTCTTGCTCGGGCAGGCTCGGCTCCCCTCGGTCTGTACAGCCTAGCTGCTTCGGGTTCCCGGACCTCTAGCAGGGCGGGGCTTATTAACCCTTCCCTGCCGGGGCCGCGGCGCAGGACGCTTGGGTGTGCCCTCTAGAGGGCGGAAGAACCCCAAACTCCGCAGAAGTGGCCTGCGGGTCGACCCCTAACGCTCTCTCACCTCTTCCCAAAGGTCAAAGGAAAACCCATGTAGTCCCAAGTAGAGAAACAGGCTAGGAGCCGCCGCAGGGTGCTGGGTTCGAATCCAATCCCAGGCAGTAAGGGATTTTTTTGTTGTTGTTGTTTTTTCCCTGTACCGGGAATCGAACTCACGACCTCGGGCTTGCCAGGCAGTCGCTGTGCCGCTGAGCTAAATCCCCAGCCCCTGGGCAGTAAGGGTTAAGGGTAGGCCTGGATTTTCCAGGGCGCAGGGGCCCTGTTTTTCTTTCTGTTCTAAACTTAGCCGGGCCGGCGGGGTCAGGGCTGGTTCCATGACGCGGACAGCGGCGGTGGGGCCGCCCTGGCTGTGAGAACGCGCGGCTGCTCACTGGCCAGGCGGGTAAACTGAGGCAGGAGACCCGGTAGCCTCGGGCCTTGCAGCTGGGCTTGGGTCCCGCTGCGCCAGACCCGCCCTCCCTCACCCTAAGGTGCGGGTTCCGCGGGTGCCTCCGGGGCACCCCGCGCCAGCGCAGAGCCCTCCGGGACCCCACGTCAGGGGGCGGTCATGTCCGCCCCTCCCCCGCCATCCCCAGAGAAGGGATCTCCTGTGCCTCAGTTTCCCCTTGGGCCCCGCAGGGTGCGGACAGCCCCGGGAGATGGGTCGAATGCGGCACAGTGTCAGCGCCGCTGTCAGCTGCACCTGCCGCCAAGGAGGGGACCGAGGCCAGGGTCACCCGCCGCGGCCGGAGTGTAAGTCCGACTCCGAGTGGGCGCCGTGCCAGCCCGGGCCAGCGCCCTCCCCCGAGGCCGTGGCTGCGGCCCGCGGGGCGGGACTTGAACCCAGGGCGGCGGCCCCATCCTTCCACCAGGGCAGGCTCTGGTCTGTGCGGCCCGTGCTCAGCCTCGATGTCCCTGTGACGTGGGGACACGGAGGGGGCAGGCGCAGCCCCGCCGGGCAGAGGCACGGGGTGAGGGCGCGAGGGAGGCCCGCCCGCCCGGCCCCGCGTCCCGCCCGGGACGGCGCGCCCCTGTCGGCCCTCACCAGAGCGGATGCGCCACCGTGAAGCGGCGCTGTAGGCGGATGCTCTGGTTCACCAGCAGCTTCCTGAAGAGCCCGGGGGAGCCGCGCGGGGACCCCCGGGGGGACCCTGGGGCCGCGGCCGGCGCAGCAGGACCCTGCATGGCCAGGCCGTGAAGGCGAAGGGCTGGGCGCAGCGGGGACGCGGGGACTTTTGTGGTCAGCCAGGGGGCGGGGCTGGGGACAGCGGAGGGGCCGCCCCGCCTCCGCGCAGCGCCCCCCGAGGAAACTGAGGCACCGGGCCAGCCGCCACTCATCGCAGCCCCTCATCAGGGCGCAGAGCCCGCTCTGACGTCAGTCGCCTCCCTCTGCGGCCCGCTCTCCCCGGTCGTGCGGGGTGGACCCCTCACCTGGAGTCTCCGACGCCCTGCGCGTTTCCAGGGTGGAGGAACCCCCACGCCCACCCCAGAATCTACCAACCGTCTGCCCTTTGCCAGGTGGGGAAACTGAGGCCCGGGGCCAGCGGGACAGGCCCAAGCCTTCTTGCAGGGCAGCGGGGCTCAGATCCAGTTCCCCTCTCCCACGCCCAAATCCCCGGCGGCCCCCACCTGTGCTGACATTCCCCAGGCCCGGTCCTGCACAAACATCCGCCGTCCGCCCTGCCAAGCCGCGGCGGGCTGCCGCTCCGCCTGCCGCTCCCCCCGGACCTCGGGAGGGGGTCTCTGGAGGCAGGGTCCTGGGAGGCCAGGGCCCGCCCGCACCGTCCCACTGCACACCAAAGCAAAGCGGGTCCCAGGGCGCCCTAGACACAGAAAGCCCACACCAGGGTCCCCAGGCACAGGGCTCCCACGTTTCCTGGGACTCTGCGACAAGGGCCACCGCCAGGGCCACCAGGCCACACTGGGAACAGGACTGCACCCGCCGAGCTGACGGGACACGGTACGTGGCGCAGGAGCGGGCATTTGCAGCCCGGCCAGGAGCCCCCCTGCCCAGCCAGGAAGCTCTGAAGCCAGACACCTGGTGGGACCCCAGCCTCGCTGTCCCTAAGACAGAAATACCATCTGTCGCTCCCAGGCCGGACCTAATTATAGCCTCTCTCCGGGGACCGCGGCCGCCAGGATCTGCCTGGTGAGACACTGGTCCAGGGAGGTCAGTGGGAGGGGCTCCCCATGGTCCCCTGCTCCCAAGGGGAAACTGAGGCCCCAGGCAACTCCTCAGATCGGAGGTGAACACAAGTGTGCTCGGCTCTTCGTGGCGCCTGGCTGAGGCAGGGGGCGGTGGCCACCAGCCCAGGGTCCCACGGCCATGCGTGGCAGGAGAGCTCACCCCAGCCTGGCCGCTCACCTCAGCTGTGTGCCGGCTTTCTGCCCTCTGCGGTCCCGAGCCTGCGCCGCAGTGGTGCTTTGTCACTTGTTGTACGCTTACAGTTTCCTTAGGAGGCCGCATTTTAAATATTTCACTAGCAGTCTTAACTGCACTGATTAATAGCTTTGGTGATAGAGAAACGGCCGCAGAGAGGGGAGAACAGGGCCAGGACGCAGTGCTCGCAGCCTGGCGGCCTGCACTCGGGAGGCACAGCCAGGCTGGGAGAGCAGCAGGCTGAAAGCGGGCAGAGGCCCGGCCCGCCCCTGTCCTTGTGTTGCTGCACCGCCTGAGAAGGTCTTAGTGCACCGCCGTCCCGATGTCCCCGTTCTGACTGCTTCTTCTCTGGGTGGGCCCTTTTCTCCTCTGCTACCAGGAGGCTCCAGAGAGAAGGGAGACGGGCACTGTTGCGTCCCTTTCTTTCTTTTTGGGGAGGAGGGTGTTGGGGTTGGAACCCACCATCCTTGAATTTGAATGACGCCTCCCAGAGGCCCCCGGCAGCCGGTCTCCATCCTTTTGTCTAGCTCCGGAACGTGAGCTGCACATGGCCCCGTCCCCCTGCAGCACGAGTACACCCATCCTCTGGAGCTGTGCACGTTCTGTTCCTGCTCCTTGGGACACCCTTCCCTGCACTCCCCGGCCCACCTCTTCCGTCCTCCAGGCTGAGCCTCACACCGGGTCTTGAACTTGGCTTCCCCGGGGTTCCCCTGGGGGTCGTACGCCCCTTAAACACGCATGCGTGCCTACGCGAGGGCCTCAGCACTTGCCAGACACACGCAGCCCAACCACGCCTGCCTTCCTGAGCGCGCTCGGCCCCCCATCCGGCTTGCCGAGTCTGTTTGTTCTTTCTTGAAAACGGAAAATCCTGAGTCACCAGAAGGGAGGAGAGGGGCCGGGGCCCTGCCGCACCTCGGGACAGCTCCCTAGCTCCCTCTGGGCTCCACATGTTTCCCGCGCCTGGCGGGGCAAAAAGCCAGGTTTGGCGGAGTGAGAGCCACTAGTCCCACCCAGGTGGGAGGAAAGGGCGCTGAGGGAGGGAAGCCGTTCACCTGAGGTCACCCTGCCTGGCGGGAGGCTGGGGCTTGGTCTGGCCTGAGCGCCGCTCTTCCAGCCCAAAGGCCTGGGGTCGCTGGAGCCGCCTCCTTGGGCTCCGAGCCCCGCCCAGCAGCAGGGGCGCTACTGCCCATCTCTGGTTTTGGTGTCTCAGGGGTTTGTTTGTATTTGAGACAGTCTTGCTATGTAGCCCAGGCTGGCTTCGAACTCGCAGTGACCCTCCTGCCTCAGCCTCCTGAGTGCAGGAATGACAGGCGTGCCCCACCACGCCCGGCTAGGAGCAGTTTTCACCTAAAGAGAGTCCCTGTGCCGGGTAGCCAGCACCTCTGCCCTCTAGGCACCGCCCACTTCCTGCCCACCCGCCACTGGCTCCGCCCACTAACGAGACTCCGCCCGGTCCCGCCTCCTCTGGAAAGCTCCGCCCATCGCAACCATCCCCCACCGGGCCACGCCTCTTTCTATCAGGCCCCGCCCTGCTACCTAGCCGCCCACCTCCCGCCCAGCCCCCGCCCACTTGAAGCAGGCCCCACCCACCACCGGGCCCCTTGCCCGCCAGTCACGAGGCCCCGCCCACCACGAGCTTCCGCCCCGCCCACCTACCGCTGCCGGAAGGAGATGGGCCAGGAGCGCCGCGTGGTCCCGAGCCCCGGTCGCGCCCTCCCGGCAGGGTGGCGGCAGGCCGCGGGGTTGTCGGGGTCGGAGTGGCAGCGCTGCTGGATGCGGATGGGGCACCGGGGCTGCCGCCACAGGTGCTCCGGGGGCCTGGGCGAGCCCTGGCGGCCGCGGGCCTGGCCCAGCCTGCTGCAGGCCTCTGCGCCGTCGGCGAACCCCGGGGCGGCCATGGCCGGGCTGTCCCGAGCTGTCCCGAGCTGTCCCCGCAGCCAGCGCCCGGGCGGGGAGGAGACATGGGTGGGCGCCCCGGGGATCGGCCCCGAGCTGCAGAGCAATGGGACATGAGGGCGAGGGCCGAGGGCTCGAGGCCAGGTGGGGTCAGGCAGGGGCAGGGGCTGGGGCGCAGTGTCCCCGGGCGCTGTCCCCCTGGCGGTGCTGAAAGCAGGTGGAGGACCGGCCGGGGTGGCCCGAGGCGAGGAGCTGTCCGCACCCCGTGGTGCTGACACCGGGGGTCCGCACGGGGCGCCCCCAAATCCTTTCTTTTTTTGTTCTTTTTTTTTCCAGTACCGGGACTCGAACTCACGACCTCACGCTTGCCAGGCAGGCGCTGTGCCGCTGAGCTAAATCCCCGGCCCCTGACCCCAAATCCTCGCCTGTAACAGCGACCAGGAGAGGTCGGGTCACGCAGGCCCGGACAGATGGCGGTGTCCCCGCCCAGCTCAGGAAGGCCCTAAACGCCCGTCGACAGGAGGCACGGGTCCCAGAGGACAGAGAACTTGGGGGGCCATGGAGGCTGGGGACCAGGGGCCCACCCCTGGGGATGGCGGAGAGGAGGATGATTTTCCCCTAACAAAGACCCCAGGGACCTTTCTTGGAGCCCACCCCCACCCCAAAGCCAGCGCGCGAGGAGGGGCGCGCTGTCGGAAACCCACCTTTCTCTCGGAGCCCGGGGAGGTGGCCGCAGCACCCGGAAACCCCGAGATTTATAGCCGCCCCCCCCCCCGAGGCTCAGACGGTCCACGGAAGAGGCAGGAGCGCATTGGCCCCGCAACCCAGGCTGCACCCCCCCCCGCTGTAAGAGCCAGGCTCCGCCCACGGCCCGTGTCTCAGGGGGCTCCCGGGAAGCGAGAACATTTTCCACCGCCGGAGCAGCAGCGCAGCAGCGGACGCGGGCTGCAGGCTGGGGTGTGGGTGTGGGGCGGGAAGAGCTGGGACTTGCTGTCCCCGAGGCTCTGGGTGGGGCAGGAGGCTTGAGGGGCTGCCACAAGGTGCGTGGCAGGTTTGGGCAGGGATTTTCCCCGGTCGGCTCAAAGCTGACCAGTGGGGTATTTCGTGTGGAGCCTGTGTTCCCCCGTCCACCGTGTCCCCAGGTTGGAAGTAGTCAGTCTAAGTTCAAGCCCCAGAAGCACCCCGGCCCGCTGTGGGATGCATAAGAAGGGGCTCCCCAAGATGGGCGTGTTATGCCTGTCATCCCAGCACTCTGGGAGGCTGAGGCAGGAGGATCCCACGTGATGGTAGTGAAACAATGGTGTTCGTAGGACCTCGGATCTGTGCACATCCAGCCCCCGTCTGTCCCCCCTGCTGGCAGCCCCACGACAGAAGTGTCCCCTGGTCAGTTCCTGCGTTATCAGAACCTGGTCCCAGTCCTGGGCTCCCAGCTGGTCCAGGACCCAGGGTGGCCTACGTGGACCCAGACTCAGGGTCCCAGGTCCTTGGTGTCCCCTTTGGCCTAGAATAGCCCACTCTCCCGCACCAGCCCCTGTGCCCTGCCTGGTGCCCTGCCCGGTGCCCTGCCCAGCCTTCAGCCACAGGGACAGTTGCAGCCTTTTGGCTGCCAGGGCCTCTGGACTCTGCAGCTTTGCAGCTCCGTTCCACCTGCGGGGCACACCCTTCCCTGTGCTTGGCCCACTGACCGCCTGCAGCCTTTGCTTTGAAGCCGCGGCTGCCAAGCAGCCCGCCTGGCCCTCACACCCCTCCTCCTCACCTGCCCGGCGCCGACGCCTGGCTCCTCTCCGTGCCTCGGGCTCCGATGGTGAACACCACCCGGGCGCTGGGCTCTGCCTCTCCAGGAGGCCCCGGGCGACTCCACAGCGGGGGCAGCAAGAGGCTCCCTGAGAACTGCCTCCGAACGACACCGCCGCCATGGGGACTCACGGGGGCCGAGCCGGAGTCCAGGGGCTCCTGGACACGCTGGGGAGACAGCGGGAAGAAGGCGCGGCAGGTTGCAGGGCCAGGCCGCTCCTGTCCCCGTCGTACTTGCTCCCCAGAGCCCAGCTACCACTCAGAACCCCACTTCCTCCTCGGGGGGGAGGGGTGCAGATCCCAGCCTCGGATTTAGGGTCTCCCTGTGTAGTCCAGGCTGGCCTCAACTCACAGCGAGCCTCCTGCCTCAGCCTCCTGAGTGCTGGGATGGCAGGTGTGGGCCACTGCGCCCAGGGGATATGCAGTGCCACGTGCCAGCTGGGGCTGAGGGAATATTTGCCTCTTACTTCCTCGTTCATGGCCGATAACACCCCCATGCTGTATGAGGCTGGTATTGTAACAACGTGTCCTGCAAATGCAACTCCTGCAACCTCAGCTGCCTTAAGAGACAGAGCCCAAAGGAGCGCCCCGCCCCCAGCTGGGTACATTTAGTGAGACTTTGTCTCAAAATAAAAATTAAGCCAGCTGTGGTGGTACACACCTCTCATCCCAGCACTCGGGAGGCTGAGTCAGGAGTATCACCATGAGTTTGTTCAAGGCCAGCCTGGACTACACAGTGAGAACCTGTCTCAAAAACACAAAAAGCCAGCCAGGGGAGCTTGTGCATGCCTGTGATCCTAGTAATAAGGAGGCTGAGGCAGCAGGATCACCGTGAGTTTGAGGCCAGCCTGGGCTAGCAAGACCCTGACTCAGAATCAAACAAAAAAGCTAAAACAAAACAAAACAAAACTGTAGAACACATGGGGCGTGGCTCAGTGGCAGGGCACCTGCTTACATGGGGGGCTGGGTTTCACTACCAGCACGGCAAAAAAAAAAAGCACTGTAATGATAGTTTATCTCATTACAATATATTATTAAAATATATAAATTCTGGATACAGTGGTGTACCCCTGCAATCTCAGGTACAGAAGCTGAGCCAGAGGATCTCTTAAACCCAAGAGTTTGACACCAGGCTGGGCAACATAGTCAGACTCCATCTCAAAAAGAAAAGAGACAACAGTAGATACCCATCTCTCAGGCTGCTGATAATAAAATGAAGGGACCCACAAGCCGGGCATGATGGCGCATGCCTGTCATCCCAGCTCTCAGGAGGCTGAGGCAGAACGATCTTTTTGAGTGCCAGACCAGCCTGGACTACACAGTGAAGACAAGGAGCAGGCCTGTCTGCAGTGCTGACCCCACTTTGGGGTAGAAAATTGGAACTCACAACCCTGGGGGCACAGTGTGCCGGGGTCTGCAGGGCAGACACGGGCACGGGAGAGAGGGAGTCAGAGGGGGCCGGCTGGGCCCCGCACGTCAGTCTGCCTCCCTCAGACTGAACTTCCAGACGGGGAGACTGAGGCCTAAGGCCGCACCTGCAGGGCAGAGCCAGGCCGGGGTGTGCGGGCGCGGAGGGAGGAGAACCGGCACCCAGGAGCCCGGCCACGCGCCTGCGCGCAGCACAGCGCAGCTCCCGGGCGGTGACCGCGGCTCCTCGCACCGTGGGGGAGACGCTGGCCTCGGGCCGGGAGTGGCCGCTTGGGCCCAGCACGGCATGGGGCAGCACCCACCCGGCTGTCCAAGAGGCCGTCCTTCCGCGCCCAGCTCTTTGACACTGTCCCCATGAGAGCACGACTCTCCCTACCCTGTCGCAGGGCTCCTGAGCGCTCAGGCAGGAACCTCATCTGCAGCCTGCGGCTCCCCGGGGAGCGTTCCCGGCAGGCGCCAGGGCGTGGGCGGCAGCGGGCGCTGCGTGCAGACAGACGCCCCTCCCAAGGTCCTGCCCCTCTGCTACCTGGGGAGACGCCACCCACGGCAGAGCTCCTTGCCCACATGCATGTAGTCATTCGACAAATGCCAAAAGAGCCGGGAGTGGGGCCATATGCCTGTGATCTCAGCACTCCGGAGGCTGAAGCAGGAGGAGCCCTCGCATTCAAGGCCAGCCTGGGCTACATAGTGAGTTCAAGGCCAGCCTGGGCAAGATAGCAAGACCCTGTCTCAGAAAGAAAACAAGCCACACATGGCAAAAGAGAGTTCACATCATCTAGGAAGAAAAGAAAACTTGGAGGGCTTGGACAGCGGCAGCAGGGGCGTCGGGGAGCTCCCTGAGGTCACTTGGCCGCGAGGGGGAGGCGCCCGGGGAGAGCGCTGGGGACGGGCGTGTGCCGCCCCGCCCAGCTGGGTCCTGGGTCCCCGCATCTTACGTTTTTTCTCCCTCCGTCTCTTCTTCCCCCCTTCTTCCTGGTGCAGGGACTCAACCCGGGGCCCTCGCACTGCACCGCACCCCAGCCCTTCTTATTGGGGCCAGCGCTGCACCTGGAGGTCTCCCAGAGCGCAGGCAGGTGTGCGGGCCGCTTTTCAGAGGTGGCCGGAGCTAGAGTGGGATGCTGGCATCAGTCTGCTGATCGGCTGGGCTGAGGGTGTGAGTGCCCCGCCGCCCTCGGGCGGGTGGGCCGTGTCCTGTGGGGGACAGTGGGGCCCCGTCGGCCTCCCCTGCTCCCCTGCTGCCTGAGCTGCCATGTGGCACCAGGACCTGTTCCCCGTTCTCTGTTCTCCAGCCAGCTATGGACTGAAACCTCTCCAAACTGCGAGACAAATAAACCGTTTTCCCTTTAATTTCGAGTGTCAGACATTTTTGTCTCAGCAACAAGAGGAGTAACTAAGACACGGTCTCTCACTAAGTCATTAAGTTGCCCAAGCTGGGCTCAAACTTTCCATCCTCCTGCCTCAGCCTCCCAGAGTGCTGGGATCACAGGTGTGAACCACTGCGCCAGGCTCCATTTCGCACGTTTTCCACGGGAGCAGACACCGCATCTCAGAGACGTTACCAGCCACGCAGGCGTCATGACCACCTTTCTGAGTCCTCTGCTTGCTACTGTCATTTCCTCCTGCCTCAGCTTCCCAGCTGGAGCTGCAGGCCCTGCCCTGAGGAATCAGCCTGGTGGCCTCCGTGCCCAGGGCTGCGCCAGGCGGGCGACCTGTCCGGGTCAGAACCCTGATGCAGCCCTCCTCCCACATGCCGTGGCCACAGCCCTGGAAGTACCCCGCCTCTGTGGACCTCGGTTCCCCCTGAGCCGGGCTGCAGGCAGCGGAGGGGGTTCGGGGACGCTCACCTCACTGAGCAGGAAGGACAGCGCCGTCCCGCTGCGTCTCATCCTGGCGGGGCTCCTGGGGGCGAGGCCGGCCGTGACCTGGACCGGGCGGGGACGGGCACCCCGAGCCAAGCTCCTTCCCATCCCGGTCGGTTCCTAGGAGGGGCCCCCAGCTCCAGGCCCCAGGGGACCCACAAAGCCCCCACCTGGGACCCCCAAACTCTCACCAGCTCTCAAGTTGGGGCGGGCAGGCCTGGCCTCACCTGCCGGTCGTCCCCTGGCGCGCCCTGTGAGCTCCCTGGGGCGGGAGGGGGGCCGGGCCGGGCCAAGAGATCCGCCGGGGTCCCCCTCCCGCAGGGCACTCCCTTCTGCCGAGAGCCAGGCCAGGCGGTGTTAATGACGACACGGGGGAGGGGCGGGGGAGGGAGGGAGAGGCCGCCCGCCGACCGGGCCTGGGCCTGGGGTTCCAAGCAGAGCTTGGGACAAACCTCAGGAATGGGGGCGGCCCCTGGGGCTCCCGGAAAGCCAGCCTCCGGGCTGTGCCAGCTAGGCAGGTCCACGATCCTCTCTGGTCCAACCTTGTCCCCAAGTCAGAGGCAGGGGCCGCAGCCAGAGCCTGGACCCCGGGACGGGTGGGGGCAGGGACGCGGTGCCAGGGCAGAGGGGCCTCTGAGCTGCCGCTAGTTAATGTGTCACCCGCGCGCTGCCTGCCCGCGAGATCGGCAGAGCGAGACCTGGCCGTGGGGCCTTCGCCACCTCGCAAGCAGGGAGGGCGGGGGGGGCAGGACGGGGACAGCGACCGCCTCTGTGTCCCCCCCAGTGGACTCCCGGGGCAGTGAGGGTCCCTCCTGTGCTGGGGGGCAGGGGACGCCGCTCCCGGCCTGCTGACCTGCACACCGGCGCTGCCTCCCTCCGGGAACAGACGGCTCCCTCTCTCTGGCCCTGGGCCATCTTGCCAAAGTCTCCAGTTCTGATAGTGACGGCAGGCAACGCCCTCATGGAGTCCCCACCTCAGACAGAATCCGCACTGCAGCCCTGAGACTGCTCCGCGTGGCTCTGTCAGGGTGCAGCTCCCACCCCAGGACCTTTGCACGCACGGCGCCTGCTTCCTGGAACACCCTGCCCTCCCCGTCCCCTCAGGTCCCCGCAGGATGATGGTGAGCACCTGGGGCCTCCCCTTCCACCCGGCAAACCTCGACACGCCGGCCCTGGGGCTGTTGGGGCTCCCGGCTTGGCCTCATGACCCTAGTGCATCTGAACCACCTCCCTGCACCCCGTCTCCAGACTCTTTCTCCTGACCACGCTGGCCACAGGGACACAGACTCGGTCCCCACTGTGCCGGAGACAGAGAACAGGCACACAGTAGTTGCTCAGTGAAGGCTGCTCACAGGCATCCAGGCACAGGAGGCCTCGGTGAGCACCTGGGATTTTATTTATTTGGTAGTTCATTCTCTTATTGTTGGAGAGAGTCTCGATATGTTGCCCAGGCTGGTCTTGAACTCCTAGGCTCAAACAATCCTCCTGCCTCAGCCTCCTGAGCAGAGGAGCCAGGACGCAGGTGCCTGCCAGCTTCGCCACGCTGGCCCGGTGGCAGCTGTGGGCCTTGGCTGAGCCCTCCCGGGTGCCCAGCTGCAAAGCCCACATCTCTCCCAGCCCAGCCACAGTCACTCGGGGGGCGGCAGGGTGATGGACGGCCGACGGTTCACACTGTCCTGAAGAAGAGACATGGGGGCACTCAGGCCCGGGGGACAGGCGGCAGCCCCGCCCCGCCAGCCTGCCTCACCAGGCACACCTCGTCCAGCACAAGGAACTCGGATGTGTCCCGGTGGCGTCCTCTCACGACCAGCAACACGGACCCGATGATCACCACCGACACCAGCACACACACGGCCACCACCACGCCCGGGTTCCTGTGTGAGGTGCGGGTCTGAGTGGCCCCTGGGGGTGGGGAAGACGCCCGGAGTCAGCCCTGCGACACAGACATCCAGCAGGACCCAAAGCAATCCTCCTGCCTCAGCCTCACAACCGCCGGGATTTCGGGCGTGCAGCACCCCGCCCGGTTCGAAATACGTAATTTACAACCTCTGCGCGCGGCGTCATCGCCTCTGCCTCTGCTCCGCGCAGCCGGCTGGCCCTGACACACATTAGGCACCTGCAGGCCCCAGCCGAGCGGGCCGGCGCAGGCCTGCGAACCGAGCACACGGGAGTCTGAGGCAGGAGAACCGCTGCGAGCTCAGGGCCCGCCTGAACTATATGAGACCCTGTCTCAAAACCACCAAACAAAATGAATAAATAAAAGTAAAAATAAGTACATCTCCCCGGACCAAAGGCTGGAGCCGCTCGGGCCTTGGGTAGGGCGGGGCACCGACAGCGCGCTCCCGGGAGGTGCCGCCCCCTGGTGGCCTCGACCAGAACTGCAGGCAAGCATCGCAGCCACCCTTCCGCCCACCGCAGACCTCTTCCCTCTTACCCTGGACGGGCATGGAGGAGGAGGGGGTCCGGGGCGGGATCGGGGGTGCGGAGTCGGACGCTGGAGTGAGCTCTGAACTGGGGGACTCCGAGCCGGCGTGGGTGACTGTCGTGGGGTGCGGTTCCGGGGAGCCAGAGGCCGTCCCAGAACCTGCTGGGGCCGGACTGGACTGGGCTGTGCTGACTTCCTCGGTACTTGGGGAGCCGGACTGGGGGATGGAGGTCCCCCCAGGACTTGAGGAGCCGGGGTCGGAGGAAGAAGAGATTTCAGGGGTAGCGGATAAGGCTTTTGTTTCCGTCTGCACTGATGAAACGGCTAGAAAGAAAGAAAAGGAGAGGGCGGGCAAGTACAGGGAGCTGTGGTCCAGACCCGCTGTGTGGGCACCGCGTGGGGCGTGCCGCTCAGAGCCACGAGCAGTGCGCATGCGCCTGGCTCTGGGTGCCATCCCAGCTCCCCTGACCCCCCGGGTGGAGGCGCAGCCTGTCATCCCAACACTGGAGAGGCCGAGGCAGGAGGATCGCCACGAGTTCGAGGCCAGCCTGGGCTAGATTGTGAGTTCGAGGCTAGCCTGAACTGCATAGCGAGACCCTGTCTCAAAAAGACAAAACAAAAACAAAAACAAGCAATTCTAAGAGAGGGACCAAAAACATGGCCAGGTCTTAGGGAGACCAAGACAAGTCAGGGCAACATAGGCGTGCTCGGTGGGAGACCCAGGCTCCCCCAGGAGGTCAGGCCTCTTGTCGGGGTCCGTGTGCCTGTCTGGGTTCTTCCCAGCCCCTGCCCGTGTGCCCGAGCCTGGCAGCCCTCAGGATGGGGGGCACAGCCCAGGCAGCAAGCTGAGCAACACTTAACCTTCTGGAGACTCAGTTTCCTTTCACGCCCAGCTTGGTAATTTTTTCTTTTTAAATTTTGAGACAGGGTTTCAGTAAGTCAACTCGGTTGCCCAGGCTGGGCTTGCGCTCCTGCCTCAGCTTCCCAGACGGCTGGGATGACAGGCGTGTGTCGGCTTCTCCGCTTTTGTTTTGCTTCACTTTTGCAGTGCTGGGGCGGTGCTGGGGCGGCACAGGCTCAGGCCCGGCTGGCGTTCACCCCGCGCCGTGCCCAGCCCTAAACTCAGAGCCCTGGGAGGAGCAGCGCCCGTGCCCCAGGCACCCCTGCCTTTCCACACCACTGAGCACTCCTGGCTCCCACCCACCCCGGGGCAGGGCAGCCCGGGGCTGTGCCCACCACGACTTCCTGCAGGTTCTGGGTGGCTGGGCAGGGCGGGCACGGGGAGTTCATTCATCAGCTGCTCCGGCCCCACCCGCTCCGCCCCCTGGGCACAATTTAGCACCTCTTCCTGCCTCACCCGAGCTGGGCACAGAAATGCGGAAATAACCTTTGCACTGGCCCTGTGGTCGCTGCCCCCACCCCCGCGGCCCTCACCTGGCCTCTGGGGGTGCCAAGTGCGCCCCCATTGTACACGGGTAGAACCAAGGCAGCGTTTGGCCCCAGATGACCAGGAAGGTGATACAAGAGTCCAGGAGGGGGGCTGGGGATTTAGCTCAGCGGCAAAAGCGCCTGCCTGGCAAGCGCAAGGTCGTGAGTTCGGTTCCCGGTACCGGAGAAAAACCAAAAAAAAAAAAAAAAAAAACAAGAGTCCAGGAGGAACCAAGCCAGGCAGGCGCTCCAGGGCGCGGGCCGGCAGCGACACTTAGGCCGAGGAGCGGGCCTTGGCAGGGGACCGGGAGGGTAACAGAGCAAGGCGGCCCGTTTCCAGGCAGGGCCCCTCCCCAGCTCCCAAACGCAGGCCCTGTGAGCCAGGGCCCGGCACAGGGGCTGCGAGCCTCCGTCTCCCGGCTATCACCCGGGGTGGACATGGCCACCTCGGAATGAATTCAGCCCCTGCCCATGGTGTCCCTTGCTCTGTCACTGCGAATTCCGGCCTGGGACTCTGGACAAGGAACCACGCACTGGGGGGCAGTGGGGAGTCGGGCAGGGCGTCCAGAAGCCCCTCCCCCCAGGCTGAGGACAAGCGGAAGGGGTAGCGGGAGAGAAAACTTCCCGCGGGGTCCCCACCGCTGTGCGCCGGGGCTGAGCTAAGGGGAGCTGAGAACGCAGAGCCCGGAGCAGGGAGTCGCCCCGGGGCTCGCGGGCCCCGGCCATCACACCCCATCCGGCTCTGGGGAAATAATGGCCTCCTCTGGGGACGGAGGGGGCCAGCGTGGCCTGAGAGGGGTCCCAGGGCCCCGGCCCCCCGTCTCCTCCAGCTTCCTGGAAACTTGGGCTCCCTCTCACCTGTGCTTACCTGCAGTGCTTGGAGAGTCTTCGCTTCCAGAGGATTTCAGCAGCAGGGCCAGGGCTATGATCAGCAGCGGCAGCCGCCGGGACCCCGCCATTTCTGTGCAGGGAGGGCCCAGGGCGCCGCTGCCACGACGGCCAGGTGTGCGGCCAGGTGTGCGGCCAGGTGTGCGGCCAGGTGTGCCGACAGGTGTCCGGCCAGGTGATTGCGCGATGCACCTGCGCGCGCCCCCTGCTGGTGGCCCGTAGGACCGCGCAGCGCAGGCGGGCCTCGGAACCCGCACTTGACCCTAACACCCCGCGTGCGCCAGGGCGCCCCACCTTGAGCCCGTGAGCCCAGCGCTCAGGACCCCCGGCCTCTTCTCTTACAGCCCCAACCACCGGGGCCGCCTCCAGGGATGCTCCAAACCCACTCTGTCCACTCTGGGGACCCCCAGCCCTCAGCCCTTCCCCCTCTCCCACATGCCCGACCTGAGGAAGGTTGGGAATACCTTTGCGCCCTTGAGCCCTGTACCCGCCACCAGGAAGGGGCAGGGATGGCTCTAGGACAGGTCCCCAAAAGTGAGGTTTTTTGGGTTTTGGTTTTATGGAACCCAGGGCCTCGCAGGAGCTCGGCAAGGGCTCACCACGCCATACAGCCCCAGCCCTTTTTGAATTTTGAGACAGGGTCTCACTCTGCTGTCCAGGGTGAACTTGAACTCATGATCCTCCTGCCTCAGCCTCCTGAGTAGCTGGGATCATCAGCATGTACTGCCATGCCAGGCCAGATGAGGACTTCGGGGTGCACGGGAAGTGACAGTTAGCCATGGGAGGAAACTGGCACATGGAATGCCCCGCTGGCAGCCCCTGCCCTCCTGAGAACACCGGGGTCCCTGTGTGAGCCACAGACCAGGGGTGCAAACAGCACGGTTGGGGTCCTCCCCGGGATGCTCGAGACTCCCTCACCCCCCACGCCCCCCACGGCCATTAATTCAGAGCACAGGACTCCAGACTCAGGCTGGGTGACTTTATTCACGGGACCCAGAGACCCAGCAGCCCTTGCTCCAGTGTCCCCTGCCTGCAGCCAGAGTCCTACACGCCAGACCGGCGTGCGAGCTGCCGCGGGTCGTGGCTCGGGGCCCCAGGCGCGCTGTCCCAGGGGCTTCCTGTCCCCAAGAGCGCTTCGGGAGTGAGGCAGCTCCGCGTGTAGTGGCCCCTCCAGGTGGCCTGCACCATCCTGGCCGCCAGCTGCTGTTCCCTCAGCTGGCGGCGAGCCTTGAAGCCCCTCCAGGCCGACTGGATGGTGGTGGCTGCTGCGTCCCACTGCTGCTGGGAATGCCAGAGCTGCTGGAGGGCCGGCCGGGACGCGTGGGCCTGAAGGGCGCCCGCTCGGCCTGTGCCGTGCACCACCCGCGTGGGCAGCGTGTGGCCACAGGTGTGGCAGGTGCGCGGACTGGCGCCCACGAGCATCACCACGCTGGGCGGGCTGCCCAGCCTGGGGCTCAGGGACGTGCACAGGCTGCAGGCGCGCGGCTGGCAGGACTGGAAGCAGCGGTGCTCGGCAACCGCCCGGGCCTCGCTCGGCGTGGTCCACGCCGGCGGGAGCTGCATGTGCTGGGCGCGTGCCCGGCGGACGCAGTGGCCTCGCCACGCAGCCTGGATGACCGTGGCGGCTTTGTAGAGCTGTGCCAGGTTGCGTCGCACACGGTGGCCGCGCCACGTGGCCTGGATGGCGGTGGCCCTCTGGTGCCACGCCCTGATGGCCCGGCGCACCAGGTAGCCGCGGGCGCAGGCCTGGATGACCGTCGCGGCGTGGACGACGATCTTCTCCATGTACTGTACCGACAGGCTCAGGTCCCCCGGCGGCCTGGGCGTGGCCGCCGCTGTGCAGCCCACGCGGTCCCATGGCCCCGGGCTCCTGGCCGGCTGCAATGGAGTGTGGGGGGCCACGGCGCAGTCCAGGGGCCGGACCGCCACACTGGGCAGAGTGGAGGTCCACGGCTGGCCACCACGTGTGCTGGTGTCCACGGGGCCCTGGGGGACACCCGGGGTCAGGGCCAGCTTGTGATGGCTCACGATGGGACCCATGAAGTGAGGAGGGAGCCAGCCCTGGGGGACCCCCGGGGTCAGGGCCAGCTTGTGATGCCGGGCTGTGGGGCTCATACAATAAGCTGAGGTCTGGTCGGACAGGGGCCACTGGGACACTAGGGAGGACTCATACCCCAGAGACATCTCACAAACTCCCGGGCACGGTCGAGCGACACCTCTGCCCTGTGCCACACCCGTGGGCAGCAGGCCTGCAGCGAGGCTGGGGCTGCGGGGTGAGGACCCGGGTGCGGGCGTCTGTACCCACTGTGGGTGCCGGAGCCTGACTGCAGAGCCTTCTAGCAGTTCTGGGACCAGGCTGCCCCAGCGGGACTGGCAGGATTTTCTTGCGCTGGGGGATGGAGGGGTGCTGCTCTGGGTCCGGTCCTGGGAGGCTGGTTTCCGGGGTGCTCGGGGGGCAGCTTCCCCCTGGCGGGGAGTACGGTTGGCTGATTTGGCCCAGGACCAACCTGGCTGCCCGAGGGAGATCATGCTGCCGGCCGCCAACCACTGGGGAGGGCTGGGGCTTCCCATCCTGGCTACAGACTCCAGGTGCGGACTGCCCGGGGCCAGCTGCGACAATGGTGAGACTGGACTGGCCGCCGCTGTCCCCGGGGAATAGCATCCGACTCCAGTGAGGGCCATGGACTCCTGCTGAAACGCTAAGGGGCCCTTGGTTGCCCCAGCAGCCAGGGGCTGTTGCGTGGCCCTGTCTACTCCAGAACCTGCCCGCACACCAGGGACCCAGCTGACAGCTTCAAGGCAGGCCCCAGGGGGCCCCCTGCTGCTCACTGAGTTTGGCCGGGGAATAGGGGTGGTGTCACTGGCTGCGAGGCTCCCGGCTGACCTCAGGGCCTGGCCAGGGGCTGGGGCCACGCCGCTGGCTTGGCCGGGAGCCACTTTCTTAAGTGGTGGCTTTTGGTCTTTGGGAAGCGTCCCCTCTACAAAAAGGGGCCCGCGGTCACAAGTCACACCCGTCCCCAGGGTGCTGTCGTGCATCCATGCTGCGGCCTTAGGGAAGCTGGGCGGACTGGGCTCCCTGCTAGACCCTGATGCCTGAGGCAGACTCTCCCGCACCGCGCCTGGCCTCAACGTGGCCTGGTCACCCAGGGCCCCAGGCGTCCTCCTCCCAGGGTCCTGGCCAACCCGGGGTGCCTTCGACAGGGCTGTAGGCACCTGGAACCCCCTGGTGGTGTGCCTTGCGGCCTGGGCACCAGTGCCGTCTCCAGCCAGGGTGCGGTGGAAGGGGCGGGGGGAGAGCCCCACAAGCAGCGAGCCCGGGGAGGGTTTGCAGCCCACACACATCGGCATGGAACCCAGGGGTACCTGTGGCTCCAGCAAACTTGCTTCTGGACCTGGGGGCAGCCTGGGGGCCACGAATCCAGCCAGGGGACCTACGGAGAGGCAGGGCTTCCTCCTGCCAGGGCCGCAGGCTGCCACCTGCCTGGGGGCTACCCCACCTGCCACCATAGACCCTGGGGGAAAGCCCTGGATCATACCGTCCATCACGCACCCAGGGGGAAGGCCCTGGACCACGCCACCCATCACAGATCTTGGGGGAAAGCCCTGCGCCACTCCAGCCATCATAGACCCTGGGTAGAGGCCTTGGACCACATTACCCACCACTGACCCTGGGGGAAGGCCCTGGACCATACCATCCATCAAACACCCTGGGGGGAGGCCCTGGACCATACCATCCATCAAATACCCTGGGGGGAGGCCCTGGGCCACTCCAGCCATCACAGAGCCTGGGGGGAGGCCCTGGCCCATGTCTCTGAGGACAGACCCTTGAGGAAGACAGAAAGGCAGGCCACTCGCATCGGGGACCACAGCGTCGGTGGCCACCCCGTCTTCACAGTCCAGCACAAGACCCATACCGGCTGCGCCCATCCCAGAGGCCTGCGCAACACCTGGGTAATGGTAGCTGGACGGGAGCACGGGGGCCATGCTAGGGAGCTGGTGGTGCAGGGTCATTGGAAGAGGGACGCTGGCCTGATAGACACTGGGCTCCAGGTCACCCAGCGACAGCTGGGCCTGGCTTGTCCTATGCTTCTTGAGTACCATAGCTGGAGGGAGGCCCTGGGCCAGCCCTGAGGTCCCCAAAGGTCCCTGGGGCATCAAAGGAGCACCCGTCTCCATGACCTGGGCTGCCAGGGGAGCTGTGCCATCAGCCACCGGACCTTGGCTCTGGCCCATAGAAGCATCTGCACACGGCCAAGAGGTGCCCCCAGCCAGGCCACCTCCGGAGGCCCCCGGGGACAGACTCAGGAATGCATCGGCTGCCAGGTAGCCCTGGGGCATGCTGGCAGTCTCACCCTTAAACCAAGCGTGATGGGGCACACCAGGACCCCAGGCTGGGCCGGGGCTCTCCCTGTGGGCCATGTAAGCCTGATAGAAAGGGGGCACCGGGACAGCGGCTGTACTTGGTATCCCCTCATAGATCCCCACAGGCTGATAGAATTCGAGGCACATGTCCTCAAGCTCAGGGTTCTGGAGGTTTGGGGCCATGCCGGTCATCATGAGATCATCCCTTGGGCCCACACCACTCCCCAGGGGAGCCTGGTCCAGGCCCTGCCCTGGCCCGCTGAACACACCAGGGTAGGACCTGCCAGAGCCGGGAGGCACCAGGACAGACGGGGGACACTGCCCAGGCTCAGCCACATGCACCCCAGAGCCCGCCAGACCTGAGCCCCCCATGGAGATGGAATGCGGCTCAGGGAAACTGTGACGTGCCCCCCAGGCCGCTGGCTGCTTGGCCTGGCTTGGGGACCTCAGATTGGCTACGCGTGTCGAGGATAGATAAGGGGACATCCTAACAGGCGGACACGGGCGGGCCCGGGCCCGTCTGAAGACCATCCGTCGGGACGACAGTGGCTGGCGTAGGCTTGGACACATACTGCACAGAGATGGGTGGTGGAGGACAGGGGACCTCCAACCGGCCATACGAGATTGGCCAAAGCTTGGGCACCCCCCACTGGCCACGGGTGGCCAAACCAGGCTTGGGTTCACCCCCGAGACTCCAGGTGGCTGGTGAGACCCTGGGCACACCCTGCTGGCCACAGGTGGAGGCTGTCCTAGGCCTGGGGACGCCCCCCTGGTGTTAAATGGCTGAGCTCCCGGGGAGCCCAGCGTCACCTTCCGGGCTTGGCCAGGGCCCACGCCTCTGGCTGCGAGTGGGTGGTCCAGGCCTGGGGATACTCTCGAGGACACGGTTGGCTGGGCCAGCCGTGGGGTCAACCCAGCGGGCAGTGATGGCCAGCTGAAGGCCGGGCACCCGCCGGCAGCCCCGGAGGAGCGGCCTGGGCTGGGGGCGGCCCTGCCAGCCAGGGAAGGCTGAGAGACGGCACGGGAGAGTGTGCGGGTCACGGGCGCCTGCGGGCCCGCAGCAGAGACCTTGGTGCCCAAAGACTGCGTCCTCCTGAGGCCGCTCGGGAAGGTGCCCTGAGTTGTCCTCTTGGACGCCTCCGCAGAGCCCTGTCCCTCCTTGCGCTCTGCGTCCCAGTGGACGCTCACAGCCAGGCAGCTGGACACTAGGGTGCGGGACAGAATGCGGGTGCTCTCAGGGGCCGCAGGGGGCAGGCGGGGGAGCTGCGGGCTCAGGGACCTCTGGCCGGCTCCTCCCGTCTCTTCCGGGGTCCAGGGCCTCTGGGAATGCCCCACAAGCTCCTGAGACAGCAGGGGCTCCAGCGGGGGGTCCCTGTCCCAGCTGCCCCCTCCAGGGTGGTTCAGGACCTCAACCATGGCCATGCTGCCCAAGGACCCAGTGGAGAGGCTGGAGGAGCTCTGAGAGCCACTGTCGACGAGGCTGCAGGGCTGGGAGTCCCCAGAGGGGCTTTGGGCCAACACACTGGGCCTGCCGGCCACCAGCTCACTGAGAGGGGACACCGGCCGGCTTGCAGCTGGCTTCCGAGCGGGCAGGACAGAAGCAAGACCCTGGACTAGAGCCTTTTCCTGTTGGGTGGATGACTGGGGACAGACACGCACCAACCTAGCACTCGTGGACACTTGTGACACTTGGTTACCTCCCCGACCCGTGGGTGCCTGGGATTTGTTCACCATGGTAGGCTTTAGGGGCCTGGGGGTCACCTTATTGATCACCTGGGAGGTTTGTTTGGGATTTGGGGGCTGAGCCTTTTTGAGGTTCTCGAGGGTGGGCTTGGGCGGCGGCCTTGGGCCTCTGGCCACAGCGGGGCACTGCAGATGGGGGGTCACCTTTTTGGCTCCCACAGACTGACACCAGCAAGCTGCACCCTGACCGGCGGGGGGAGTCGTTTGGGAGGGGGTGCCCTGCCCTGCCCCCACACTCCCTGGAAGCCTCCCCGGGGCCATGCTGCCCTCCCCCGACGGCGCCCCCGGACAAGGGGCCGCCCTGCTGGCCGCGTGTGGCTGCTGGACGCTCGGAGCCGAGTCACGGGGCACCGACGGCCGGCTGGTGCTCGGGCCGATGCCAACGGTGATAAATGGCTGCCAGGGTCCGAGGGGCGGCTGGAGGGAGCACGGCCGGGGCGGGCAGGGGCTACTACCTCCCACTACGGGGTTGGCGTCACATGCCAATTTGCCAAGCCCCGGGGCTGGGCACGCACCGTCATTTCTGACTTGGGGGCTCAGGTGGGGGTCGGAGAAGACCCTGCCCAGCCCCGCCCAGCGGGACGGCAGGAGCTCCGGGCCCGGGACGAGGGGACGCGGGTGCCTGCTGCTGGTCACCCTCAGGTCGGAGGCAGCGGCCACAGGGAAGTGAGACAAGCAGGGAGGCCCCTCGAGCATGGCCCCGTCCCCCCCGTCCCCCCACGGGCCCGCAGCAAAGCGCCCCCAGACCCCCGCCCCGGGGGTCCTGACCTTGCTGGGCTGCAGCCGCACAGGGGAGCGCAGGCAGGGGTCCCACGCTCTCACCTCCACCCGGGCCGGTGGCAGCGGCATCTTGCTGCTGGTCACTTTGGAGGCGGCCTTGGGGAGGATGGCCCCGGTCCTGGGGGCTGCCCGGGACAGGGACTGGCTGAGGACGGCCCCCAGCTCGCCCTGGCACAGGGCCCGGCTCAGAGCCACCCGCTCCTCCTGCGTCAGTGCCCTGCTGAGCACCTCGGTCACCCTGCTGTGCATGGCCTTGGCGAGCTCCGCACGCAGCTCACCCCGGGACAGCGCACGGGACAGCGTGGCACCCAGCTCTCCCCAGGACAGCGCCTTCGCCAGGGCCAATCCCAGCATGCCCTGGGGCAGGGCCTTGGCCACAGTGGCCCCCAGGGCCTCCTTGGACAGCACCTGGTTCAAGGCGGCCCACACTTCTCCCTGGGAGAGCGTCCTGGCCAGCAGCACCCTCAGGTCTTCCTGAGAGCCCAGCGCAGTGACCAGCTCCGTGCACAGGGCGGTGATCTGCGAGGCCAACATGTCCTCCTGGCTCGGCGCCGCCTGGCCGGGTGTCGGCAGCTGGGCCCGTGTGGTCTTGCTGTCTCCCCAGGGTTCCACACTACAGCCGGGGTGTGTGGCGGCGGCCGAGGTCAGCAGAGGGACCAGCGTGCCCTGGGGCTCTGGCACGGTGGGGCGGGCGCCCTGGGTGGCCTTGCCCGGTCTGTGTTCTGGCTTGATTCGGAAGCCTGAGTCAAGGGTCCCCGGGAGCCGGCAGCTGGGGGTGGAAGCCTTGGGCCCGGTCAGCAGCGGGTGCGACTGGGCCTTGCTGCCGAAGTCACCGGACTGCTGGGCTGTGTAGACACGCCTGGCTGCCTCTGTCCCCAGCTGGACCTGGGACTGCGTCCTGCTCAGACACGTGACCAGGTGCGCCAGGGACGGGGCCTTGCTCAGCCTGCTGGGCGGATGGGCCTGGGCCTCGGCCTTGGCAGGGCAGGTGGCCAGGCGCAGCTGGGACAGGGCCTTGATCTGCTTGGCGGTGGGATGGACACGGGTGGGGGCTGTCAAGCGTGTGACCGCCTGAGGCTGGGAGGACGCCTTGGCCGGCCGCCCTGGGGCCAGGGCCTTGGTCAGCGGAACGGCCACCTGGGCCTGCGGCACAGACACAGCCACCTGGACGGGCATGTACACCTGGGACTGGACCTTGATGACTTCCGTTCTCTGCAGCGTCTGTGACAGGGGCTGGCTCCTGTCCTTGGAGACTCCGGCCCACGATGGCACCTTGGTTGCCCGCATTGCCACGTCGGTCTTACACGCCGTGTCCTTGTGCACCGGTTTCTGGGCGCCAGTGTGCGTGCTCTTGGCTTCCAAAGGGCCCCTCGTTGGAGCGCCGGGAGCCCCAGTTTCCAGGTGTGGCTGGGGGGCACCCTTGAGCCTCCTTCCAGCCCAACAGGAGAGGTCTGAACCCTTCGCTGTCCCTGCGGCCGCCTCCCGCCTGCTGGCCGGGACCTTGGTCCGCGAGGCGGCCAGAGGCAGGCTGGACGAGCTGCCGGGAGCCCCGGCCGGCCTGGCCGCCGGCGGTGCAGCCTTGAGGTTGCTGGCAGCCGGCAGCGTTGGGCACAGCGTCTTGAGGACGGCGGTGACTGAGCGGATCTGGGCTGGGGTCCTGCTGATCATGGCCGCCAGGCTCATCTGGGATGGGGGTTTGGGCGTCGAGGTCACGGGGCTCGTCTGGGACAGTGTCTTGCACACGGTGGCCACCGGAGGGGTTTGCAGCGGGCCTCTGCCCAGGGCAGGCACCAGGCCCATGAGGGCTGAGGCCTTTGTGCTCACGGGCATCCAGCCCTGCTGGGTTGGGGTCCTGCTCTTGAGGGCGGTCGGCTGCGATGGCGGCGGAGTGCTGGCCTGTGGCGTTGGCTGCGCCTGGGCTGGGGCCTTGGTCAGCGTGGGTGCCAGGCACGTCTGGGGTTGCGTCCTGGTCAGCGTGGGTGCCGGGCACGTCTGGGGTTGTGTCCTGGTCAGCGTGGGTGCCGGGCACGTCTGGGGTTGTGTCCTGGTCAGCGTGGG